AACCAGGAGGTCATGGTTTGATTCCTGGTCAGGACACATGCCCAGGTTGTGGGATCGATCCCCAGTGGGAGGGTGGGGGGCATGTGGAAGGCAGCCAATCCACGATTCTCTCATCACTGATGTTTCGATCTCTCTCTCCCTTCCTCTCTGAAATCAATAAAAATATATTTTTAAAAAAGGATAGTGAAGGAAGAGAACAACGGAGAAGAGACAAGAAGGAGGAATCGTAGAACAATATTCCTAAATATCAGAAAGCCCCACCGCACCAACACTTCACATTGGCAAGCTCCACTGAGAGACAGCAGCAGGCATGCTGTATGACATGCCATCCAAGTAACAGCCGCCAAAAGGAGTCCCATTTTCTTGGAAAAACAGGTTGCCACGGAGCTTTCATATTTCACCAATTAAACAGCTTGGGCTCGATGTAATTAAGTAACATAATTATGAACCCATGTCTTGGCTTCTAGCCTAAAGTCCTATTTCTTATTCACGTTTATCAGTAACTGTCATCTAGAACTTAAGTGGCACATGCTGAGCCCCGCTCTTCATATTAAAACACATAGGTGATCTACAAATAGAAATCCACACTCATTTTAATTTTTAAATTAAAGAGGAAGGCTCAGTGGGTCATCACACAAGTGAGGTACTGAGTAGAGACTATCATTCAGGAAGTGGAAGCAGGAAGTGACCAGGATAAATTTGGACTCCTGAATATTTAGAGAGAAAATGTATAAAAGTAAAGGAGTCACTCGATTTCCATCGTACAAGAGATGGCGACTTAAAGAGTAAAGGGAAAGGATATTTAGGGATACCATAGCAGCTGGCTCTACAGTTACATCAGTATAACTAACATGTTAAGTTAGGAGGCAAAGTAATCACTGATGGGAATGAGGCTACAAAATTTATCATCTTCTCTTGCATAAAAACATGCTACCGACAGAGTCATGCTTACTAAGTAATAAAAGTTAACATTTAATGGTACTTGGGTTGGGTTAGGTACTGGTCTAAGTACATTATGTAAATAGATTAGTTAATTTTCAAAGCAACCCTATGAGGTAGGAACTATTAATATCAGAGATGAGAAAACTGAAGCACAGAAAGGCGAAGTAACTTGCTTAAGGTAGTAAGTTGCAGAGCTGGGATTTGAACCCTGGCAGTATGCTTTTTAAACAGTATACCATGCATTCTGCCTCTTAACACCTTTCTTCAAAAGAAATGGTAGTCTCTATTTTAGAGTTTTATTCATACATTTACAGAGGTTTTCAGAAATATGTAAGAGAGTTAAGCCCTGAATTAAAGGAATGATGACTAGCCATCAAAAGCTACTGAAGTCAGAGTACTTTCAAAGCTGGAAAAGATACGTCACCTTTGCCTGGTGTTTGACATTTATCCATGCAAGTGAATCCAACTCAATTAGCAGTGATTTAGAGTCCTATGCCAAGTACGAAAGAAGTAAGATTCAAAGCCTAGAGAAGACATAATTTTTATTCCCATCGAAAGCAGATAAAATACCCTGGAAGCTTAGAGTTGAATAGAGATGAAGAAAATGAAGCCCAGAGAGTTCAAATGACCTGCCCAAAGCTAAATAAAGTAGTTTGTAGCACAGTGACCTCAAATTCAGTTCAAATTGGTCTGGTTCTCTTTGCACTCTACCATTCTGATTCCAATCAAGGTGGCTGAACACACTGAAATAAAATGAACTTCCAAAATACTAGTAATTATCTATGACTTAAAAGGAGGAAAATGTATGATATCTCACTGCCTTATCTCTAGGACCTTAACTTCGGAGAACAAATAGCCAAGGGAATCATTTTTAAGGGAAGGGAGAGGAGGAAAGAATTCACATATAAAGTCTTTGAGATCTTCTCTGAAGGACTGTGTGTTTTCCAGTTTTATTTGCTGGACTTTCTCTCTCTCAAACCTTACCCAATTCTATAAGCAGACTTTGAAATGATGTCTATATTTGTAATTATGTGTGTAGTTACATGTGTACATCTTCAACTCAAAATAATATTGAATGTAACTTGTAATTGAAAAATAAAACTTAAGTTAAAGAAAAGAATATGATATGCTTTATATCTCTCTGTATGCCCAGATTTTGCAAAATGCTTTTACATAGTAGGTTCTCAGTAGGGTGATGAAGTTAAAAGTTTAAGTATATACAACATAAGGCTTCCAGTTAGATTCCTTTCCAAAAACATGACCCTGTATTAGGTCTCCCAGAGATTTTTTTATTAGTTTATTTTATTCATGGCCATTTTATGCCTCCCTCACCTCCATCCCACCAGGTGACATTTGGCAATGTCTGGAGACATTTTTGGGTATCACAATTTGGGGGGAGATGGTGCTATGAGCATTTAGTAGGAAAAAGCCAGGGATACCTCTAAACTTCCTACAACACACAGAATAGACCTCACAACAAAATCATCTGGCCCCAAATGTCAGTAGTGCCAAGGTTGGGAAATACTGGTCTATTTTAGAAGTAAAAATAAATGGATAGCAATCTTCCCATTTCTCCATTTTTAAAACACACACACACAAAACATAAATCAAAATGATACACCAAAAAATTTGCCCCAAGCAAGAGTACTGTTAAGATAAACAATTATTTAATGGGTCAATTTACAGGGCTAGAGGGGTTCATTAAAGGCTGGATAAAAAGAACAAATTTAAACACATAAATACTTAAGTAAGCAATGGAAAGCCTATACGAAAGGCACTGTTCTGACCTTTACTACATCTGAAACTGAGATTTCTCCACTGTTGTAAAATGAAACATTCTGCTAATAAGGCATTTAATTCAGACACAGAACTCTCACTTCAGACTATTTCATTATATCTAACCTCATATAAAATCCACCTTTTGGACCAGCACGCAAAGAAAAAAAAGGTATGTTTTTTGCTTACCAATAAGGTCATAAAAATAAACTGCTTTTACCATTAGCCATTCATTTTTATGTCTGCCCATCTCTTCCACGTTTAGGTTTACCTGGAAGGTCCAATATTTAAGCCTGAATTCCTTATTATGGCTAAAGGAATCATTCATTCAGCCCTACATTTCTTTCTCTGACTTCTATTGTACAAAGAAAACTGTAGCAAAGCTATCCTAACAGCCTGATAATTTCCTTGAAATGAATAAGGAATTAAAAAAGTTAAAGAGGAAGGAATGCTTCCAGATTCATTTTATGGAGCCAACATTACCCTGATACCAAAACCAAACAAAGACATTATGAAAAAAATAAAAATCACCGGCAAATATTCTTGATACTACAAAGTTATCTACTAGATACTACAAAGTTACATATACTATACTCCAAAGTCACAATAATCAAAATAGTATAGTACTAGCATAAAAACAGATATATAGATCAATGTTTAGAATAGAGAGCCCATAAGTAAATCCTTGTTTATAGCTCAATTAATCTACAGCAAAGGAAGCAAGGTTATACAATGGGTAAAGACAGTCTCTTCAAAAAGTGGTATTAAGAAAACTGGACAGATACAATTAAAATTATAAAATCAGAACACTATTTTTACACTATGTACAGAAATAAACTCAAAATAAATTAAAGATTAAATGTAAGACCTGGAACCATAAAACTCCTAGAAGAAAACATAGGCAGTAAACTCTTTGAGAAGGTTCTTAGAAATATATTTTTGGATATGTCTCCTTGAGCAAGGGCGCAAAAGAAAAAATAAACAGATGAGACTATATCAAACTAAAAAGGTTTTGCACAGCAAAGGAAATCATCAACAAAACAAAAAGACAACCTACTGCCTGGGAGAAGATATTCGAAGTGATACATCCCCAAAGGGTTAATATACAAGATATTTAAGAACTTATGTAACTTAATACCGCCCCCTCCCCCAAAAAAATCCAATTTAAAAATGGGCAAAGAACAGTAAATAGACATTTCTCCTAACAGGACATAGAGATGGCCAACAGATATATGAAAAGATGGCCAACATTATTAATCACCAGGGAAAAGCAAATTAAATCCACAAGGAGAGATCACATCGCACCTGTTAGGATGGCTATCATCAATAAATCAACAAATAACAAGTGCTGGTAATAATGTAGAGAAAAAGGAACCCTTGTGCACTACTGAAAACTGTAGCGAAGCTCTTCTAACAGCCTGATAATTTCCCGTGGGATTGAAAATTGATGCAGCCACTATGGAAAACAGTATGGAGATTTAAAAAAAAAATAGAGCTGCCATATGACCCAGGAATTATGCTTTTGGGTATGTATCCAAAGAAAACAATAACGCTGATACAAAAGATATAGGCACCCCTATGTGTTCACTGCAGCCCTAGTGGTAGCCAAAGTATGGAAGCAACATAGATGTCCAACAATAGATGAATAAAGAAAATGCGGTACACACACACACACACACACACACACACACGAATATTACTCAGCCATAAAAAAGAATTCACTCTTGTTATTTGCAACAACAAACATGGCTGGACCTAGAGTCTATTATGCCACATGAAATAAGCCAGGCAATAAAAGATAAATACAATATTATTTGTGGAATACTAAAAACAAAAGAGAAACAGAACCATAGATATAGAGAACAAGCGGATAGTTGCCAAAAGAGAGGGGGTGGGGAGATAGAAGTAAAATAAATGCGATTTTAAAAAGAGATGAACAAAGAAAAGGAAGTAGAGGGGGCTGGTGATTTTTCTTTGCATTTCGTCATAGTATCCTTACATAGTCTCTAGCTGATGTGGTTGCAGTTGCTAGGGTTTCATTTGCTTGTTCATTTTCCCCAGTGGCTGATCATAGTGGATATTTTGGTTGTCTGGCAGACACTTGAATTAAAAAAAAACTTTTAAGGGGACAAATTAGTTCTTTTCTTGGAGTCAACTAACAAAAAGCATCTCAACCTCAGGAGAATCTACAGTAACTAATCTGTTGACTATTTTGTGTGTTGAGTTAAACATGTCACCACAGAGACCCTCGCACTTTGGTTAACAACTTTCTAAATATTTACCAAGATCTTGGATAAGTGAGAGTGCTTCCCATGATATAAAGGCTCCACCACCATCATCCATGGCGCCCTGCCCAACGTCCCAGCTGTCCAGATGTCCACTGACCAGGACAACCTAGAACAAATAATAAAAAGAAAAACAAATAAGATTAAGCAGAAAGGACATAAAAGAGGAAGATTCAGAGGCATTCCAAATACAGAAATGAAACTTTTATATTCTTTCCATGTTTAATGCCTTAGAAGATCTGCGTCATTACTAGTGGAAGACTTAGTACAGAGGCCTTACACAAGAGGGTGTGAGGTCATCGTGGAAGTAATAAAAGTTCTCACCTTATACCTCTCTTTATTAATATAATTTTGAATACTAAGAAAAAGTCTTATAACTGACATATGTGTGACAATTTTATTATATGACGTAAAAATGGAGCTCAAAACTTCAACCATATTTCCAACCATCCCAAATTCTCACAGATACAGGATACACATGTGTTGAACTGAATACAAATGAAAAAGTAAAAACAATAATTTATTTTTTAAATGATTGTGCTTTGCGCATTGTAAGTCACTTTACTGTGGAATAAACTGCTAAATTTACAAACTAAATTCTAACAGAATAACTTTTAAGAAACATTTCAATTTACATTAGCGTGAAATAATCTATACATTATATTACATTTTAAATCATTATTAGGTTTACGTTTTTTTCTGAGAATCATTAGTAATTCTCTCCGGGAAAAATAAATTCAATGGAACTACATTTTGTGGACACATTGTCCTTAAAAGTAAGTAAACTGATGTTGGGTTAGGACATCCAGTGAAAAAGTATCTTTGTCACTGGGCTGTCATCCAAAATACCCTAATGTTTCTCAATACCTACACCGTGTCAGGAGCTGTGCTTGCTTACAGGAACTAAGAAGGATTCCTGACTTCAAAATGAGGAGGGCCGGGCGCAAAGACCAAGATGCCGATGGGGCATCGTGTACAAAAGAATCATGTTTGCAACATGCGAAAGAGCTGAGTGCAACAGGAAAATAACTACGCCTGCCTCAAGGAATGGCATCGCTCCACACCACAGCCTGTACACACAGAAGGCTCCTCCCCAGCCAGGGAGAAGGTGCTGTGAGAGCGTGAGCTCCCCCTTCTCCATGCCTCGATCAAAGAATAAAGTTTCTGCTCCACTTTATCGACCTCAGTCTCATTCTACTGGCGTGAATGGCAATAGACAGAAGGATGTTGTTTTGGGTCCCCAATCTGGAAGGGTTGGTAACATCTTGATCTCGATACAATACAATATATGGATATCAAGTCAGATGAATTATAAATCTAAATAAAGGTGTTAGAGGAGAGCACAGGACTTGAAATAGGAAACTTTCTTAAACTGGACACACAAAGAACAAACCATAAAAGAAAAAATAATAAATTGGGACTTTTAAAATATTAGGAATACTTGCTTATCAAAAGACTCCCTTGAAAGCGTGAAAAGGCAAGCCAGAGAGGAGAAGAAAGTATTTCCAACACAAATATGCAGCAAAGAACCCATATCCAGATTATATAGAATTCCTGCGAAACAGTAACAAAAAGAAAGTTAATTGATGGAAAAATGGACAAAATACTTGAACAGACAGTTCACAAACATAAATATACACATTATTAATAATCATATGAAAAGGTGCACAGGTTCATTATTATCAAAGAAATTTAAATTAAACCCCATTCAATATATATCCACCATAATGGCTAAAAAGATAAAAGGTAGAAAATGCCAAATACTGGTGAGGAGATAGAGCAACTGGAACTCTCATACATCATTGGTGTTAGCATAAGTACTTACAACCGCTCTGAAAAACTGGCTTATCTACTAAATCTGAACATCTGCACACCCTATGACCCAGCAATGCAACCTCCATCTATAAGTCCAACAGAAACGTATGTGTGTATATATACTTTCACCAAAAGAGACGAACTAGAATGTCTATAGAATATTCATAACAGCCCTCATCTCCTTCCCAGAAAGGAAACTATTTAAAGGCCTGTTAACAGCAGAATGAATGAATGATGTTGTATTAATCAATGCAACATTGCACAACAGTAAGAATGAGCAAACACAATACATGATAAATGTACCTGAATCTCATAAACGTAATGAAGAATGAAAGAAGCCAAACAAAACAATGCACCATGTATAATTCCATTTGTATGAAATATAAAAACAAGCAACACAGGAGAGTGGTATCCCAAGGTGAGGAGGGTTAGTGCCAGGAAGGGGCCCAAGGAGAGGTGCTGAGGTGCTGGTCACGTTCTGGCTCCTGGTCTGGGTACCGGCTACACAGGTGTGCTCAGCTTGTAGCAGTTCATCTTGTTAAACACTTAGGATCTGTGTACTTTCTCTTAGACTATTATGCATCAATAAAAGTTCTATAAAAAGAATAAGTTCAACAGAGTGATGTCTATGTACAGCATGTAATGAGTAAATCAACGGTAAACAAATCTTGATGATTAATGAAAAACCCATGACTTTGGGAAAGCAGGATTTTGGGTGGAAATACCCGGGTGAACACTTGCACTGCCTGCTTCTCTGAGCAGCTGCACGCTCTCCTGTTGACTCTGTGTCCACAGACAGACCCAGCCCACGATGACTTCATCATAGTCACAAACAAGTACAATGCCCCAGACTCACAAATGGCCATGTAATGAGCCCAAATGGATTGTTTCTCAGGAAAAAATGAAAAAATATATTGCAATAGCAGGAAACTCTGATTCAGAAAGTGGTGTAATCCCATGTGGAATGAACATCAGTCAACAGTCTCACCACTCTCAGAACCATTTTCCCAGTGAAGTTAAAGCTCCAGTGGACAAATAGTGTCAAAATGTATTTTAATAACCTTTTCCTCAGATAACATGTAAGAGTAACTAAATCAAGGCAGCTCTATGTTATCCTCCAGATTGCCTTCAGAATAACTGAGGTTGCTTTCAAATCATATTTTTATGTGTTTTCGGAAATGCCTCCATTCTCCAATCCAGAATTACTACTTACACTAATAATTAAAATACAGGGGAAATGGTTTTGAATAATAGGAAATTCAACGATATCCTATAGGACAAAGTCTTTGGCACAGTGTTATGGAAGAATGATCACAAACTATAATAATAAAAGCATAGTATGCTAATTAGACCAGACGTCCTTCTGGACGACCTTCCTGGACGAAGCCAGGGCTGAGAGGGAAGCCCGGGTCCCAGGTGCCTCCTGGTGGCCAGCGGGAAGCCCAGGTCCCGGGTGCCAGAGGGAAGCAAGTACCGGCAGCCAGGGGAAAGAAGGCTAACTCTTGCATGAATTTTGTGCATCGGGCCTCTAGTTTGGATTATAATAGCTTGTTTTAGTATAATTTTTGAAATCAGAAAATTGGGGGCTACCATGAGATAGTAGGTGTAATTTTAATATTATTTGATTTAAAAACAGTAATGACAGAAAGCTACTTCTAATTCAGGAGAATTTTTAATGAACTTGATTTTTTCTTTTTTTTTTAATTTAAATCTTTTTTAAAAAATTTTCTAATTCAGGAGAATTTTTAATGAACTTGATTTTTTTTAAAATTTAAATCTTTTTTTTTAAATTGATTTGAGAGAGGAAGGGGGGTGGGGAGAGAGAAACATCAATGATGAGAGAGAATCATTGATTGGCTGCCTTCTGCATGCCCCACACTGGGGATCAAGCCCGCAACCTAGGCATACGGCCTGACCGGGGATTGAACCGTGACCACCTGGTTCATAGGTCAATACTCAACCACTGAGCTATACCAGCCAGGCTTGAACTTGAACTTTTGTAACCATAAGAGCAGCTCCTACATTCACTTAGAAAACAGTAGTGCACGAGGTCACATCAGCATGGTGGCCTGGCTAGCATGCCTTCATGCAAACTCACAAGGATAACCCAGTAAAACATGCCAACTCACCATGCCTTATGTCAGGGCCAAGCAGATATGAACATTAATTATAATATATTTGCATCTGATTTAAGCAACCAAAAAACAAGACCATGCCCAGAGATATAGTAAACTCCAGTTCACAAGAAAGAACCACCTGATAAAAGATGCGAAAATGTATAGTTCCTTCACTGCCTCTGTTGCCAGATGTAGAAACAGAGCCCCTGCAGCAATAATACCACCAGAAACACAGAGAAGTAGGACACCCACTCTTCTTCCCACTTGTGTGCGGCTCCCTGAGGCAGGCAGAGCGCTCACCCATCCCCCACCCTCCAACTTCCTTTTCACCAGGTCGTTTGACCCCGCAAAGGGGTCGCGACCCACAGGTTGAGAACCGCTGCCCTACAGCAATAACACCACCAGAAGCACAGAGAAGTGGCATACCCACTCTTCTTCCCACCTCTGTGCGGCTCCCTGAGGCAGGCAGAGCACTGACCCATGCCCCAACCTCCAACTTCCTTTTCACCGCCATCTCTTCCAAATGCAGGAAAGATTATCAAAACAACAGCAACAGCAATAGCAGCCACAACAAAACTGGCATGGCAGAGGGAGCCTCGCTGCTCTGAAGTGGAGAGTTGTAATTTGTGAGACACACGGTGTCTATCAAAGACTCCGTCTTGGGAGAAGGGGGTAGAACCTAGGGCGGTAAGGCAGAAATGCACTGGATGGAAGCTGCTAGGACTAAAGTCAGACCGGCAGTGGCACACAACTGCCTCCCGGCCAGCTGTGGGTCTGGGAGAGGACAGACCAAATCAAGGGTGGACAGACAAGGCCCTCACTTCTTTGTTATGGGTGCTTACAGTGACACTGAGTCCACAAAGGTTGTCTGATGAAAAGATGAATAAGCCCTTGTCAGTGTTGCTAAGTGGTTAGAGCATAGGCCCTGTGCACCAAAGGGCCATGGGTTCGATTTCCATTCAAGGGCATGTATATGGGTTGCAGGTTCCATCCCCCAACCTTGTCAGGGTGTGTGTGTGGGAGGTAACCTATGGAACACATATCAAGATGTAAGTATAAGCTGTGAAACCACAGAAATCCTAGAAGAAACCATAGGCAGCAAAATCTCAGCCATCTCTGGTAGTGCAATGGAACAGAACAGAGGACCCAGAAATTGACCTAACCCACTTTGCTCAATTAATATTTGACAAAAGAAGCAAGAAAATACAATGGAGTAAAAATAGTCTCTTCAATAAATGGTGTTGAGAAAATTGGACAGGTACATGCAAAAAAAGAAAAGAAAAAAGAAAGAAAGAAACTAGACCACCCACTTATACTATACACAAGAATAAATTCAAAATGGATAAAGAACTTAAATGTAAGATGTGAAAATCTTCTTCCATAAAAATCTTGGAAGAAACCATAGGCAGCATAATCTCAGACATCTCTTGCAGCAATATGTTTGCCAATACATCTCCTAGAGCAAGGGAAATTAAAGAGAAAATAAAAACATGGGACTTCATCAAAATAAAAAACTTCTGCACAGCAAAAGAAACCATCAACAAACTGAAAAGGGATCCCACTGTGTGGGAGAATGTATTTGCCAATGATACATCTAAATAGGGATTAACTTTAAAAAATATATAAAGAACTCATACAACTCAATGAAAGGAAGACGAACTGGTAAAAAGTTTTAAATCTGATAATATGAAGCCGTGCCAAGGATGCTGAGCATCAGGCATTCGCATCCACTGCGGGTAGGAGCAGGAAAAACAATTGCACACGTGTGCATCTCAGAATCCAACAATCCCACTGTGGGTGCATATACTAGAGGAATTCTGAAACTTGAGTTTTGTAGCACAATAGTCATATGGAAGCGATGATAAGGCCTCAAACTAGAACTCACCCACATGTCCATAGACAGAAGAATGGGTAAATACTATGTGGTATAGTCATACAATGAATTATTCTAAAGTAGTGAAAATGACCTCCAGCTACATAAATCAACGTAAATGAATGTCCAAACAAATATATGGAAGAAAAAACAAAAAAGAAGATCACAAAAGAAATAGAAGAGAATTATTCCCTAATATAAATTTCAAAATTCAGTTGAACTAAGTAACACAATCTTTGGCAATGCATGCGAAGGTAGTAGAGTCATGAAGAAAAGCAAAGTGATGGTTATCCAAAATCAGGAGAGTGTTGACATCAGACAGGGCTGGGGCAGAAAGGAGGAGATAGAGAGAAGCACACAGCAGGCTTCTTGGACACTGGTAGTGTTCTATCCCTGAAACTAAGTGGTGAGAACATGTGTGATCCTTTTATTATTGTTCTTTAGATTTTATATACATGTAAATAAAGTCTTTTGCATAAGTGCTATGTTAAACAATACCAGGGGTTATTAAAGACATGTCTTTGAAAGCATGAGGCTCAGATAGTTTTATAAGCCAGTACAAACATTAAAGGTCATATTTACCTCATCCTATTTCAACTGTTGCAAAGGAAAAAATATGGGATGTGTTTACATTTACTTACAATAATCTTGTTACCAAAACCTAAAAAAGATTGTATCCTCCCTAAAAACCAACCAGAGATCAAATCTACTTGTAAAATCTGAAATAATTGTATTTAGCAGCATACTGAAAGCTATTGCTATAATAGCTCAATGATTTTCAAAAGCCCATGGTTATATATATATATATGATATACATATAATTTTGGGTCATACTTATGTTCTTGGCATGCCTAGCTTTAACATTATGCATTTTAAATTGTGAGTTTTATAGGTATTTATCTAAACCTGAGCAAGTACTTGCTGATCAATCCTCAATAAATGAGATGCACACTCAACTTTCAAAGATGTTTTATTTGACAAATGTCTTGCTTAATAATGAACCGGAAAGATAACTATCTGGTGGTTTTATATTTGGCTTTTGTGATGTTTTGTTTTCTTTGCAGCTTCTTCATTCTCTTAGTCTCATTTTATTTGGTGTATTATAAGAGGTAACGGAATAAGTGTTTGGGCTACAAAGTTCAAGGCATTTCCAGACACAGGAAATCCCCAATCAAATTTGCAACACCAAAAATAATTAAGAGTTAAAAAATATGACCTACAAAAAGAGGGGAAAATCTTTCATTATTTAGCCTTAGAGAAGAAGCCAAGAAGTGATGTAATAATGGGCTTCAGCAATGATAGGCCCTCTGTGGAGGATAGGAACAGCAGACGAGAAAGCAAAGGAACCAGGTCTGAGCTGCAGCAATGAGCCTTAGAAACATACAGATGATTGAGAATTTTCTAATGGTGGCCTTGGTAGAAGTTAAAAAAGTGTTAACAGGGGAAAAGGTTATGGAAAATTCCTTTCCTTGGAGGGTTTCTAAAATAGACTACAGTCTTTGGTCTTAGATGGAAAGCTAACATAGAAGGGATAAATAAAATCTTTCAAGGTTACATCTAGTCCAATATTCCGTGGCTGTTTTCAAGAATTCTTTTCCTATTCTAACCACTTAAAATGAGGAACTTGTGCTTTGAAAAGTCTTCATGACTGTAACAGACTATTCTCTGAGCATCAACTAGATACCCTGGCTGCCAAGATCTTCCCAAAATTTAGGATCCAAACACAGGTGGGAAGGCACTTCTCAAGAAATCCATGTTTTTGTAATCCCCGTCGAAGACAACAATCTAGGCTTTCAGAGGGCATTTGCTGAATGTATTGTGCCATTGCCCAGCACAGTCAAAAGGGACTATGTTTGAACAAATACTGTCCTCCCCAATGAACAGACTAGGTGGTCTACAGAATAAAGCTAGGCCCCTGACACACAGGATTCAGACACAACACGGCAAACATCTGAGCTCCTCTTGACTGGATTCTTATCTTCAAGCTTTGTTTAGTGAAGCTGTTGGATGTTGATAGCTTGTGGGACGTAGACTTCTTTCACAAGAAAGTGGGCCATCTGTCCCAGTGCTCACACATCACCACAGGTGCTCCTAAAAGGAGCTGTTTCATTCCAGACTGCCCCCTCTTACTTGTGACTGGCTTCATAAAAGGAAGACCATTACTGTTTCTGGTTGAAGTCTCCGAGTACATTACTAGACAGATATCTTAGGATAAAACAAGAAGGGTCTAATTTATCGGTGGCTCAGAAAAACCAACACATAGGTAGATTTATAAAATATGATTGCAGTGTATTTGGAAGAAATGGCTGAAATTTATTGAACAATGACTTGTGGGTAGTGGTACAGCAGAGAATGCCTATGGAAGGAAATCATTCTGATTAAATGGAGTTGTTTGGATTTCATCCAGAAGTCATGACTGGTTGCAACTGGAGATAATAGTCTTTTAAATGAAAGAATCATGCTTCTGAATTACTTCTCCTTTGGCCTAAGCAACCACAGGACAAGTTGTCTCACTTGAAAGGATGGGAGGAGCAGAGAATTGAATTACAACATTGCATTTTAACTTCCTCCGGGGAAGAAAGGGAGATGAAAAGCTTAGCTAACTTCTAGCTCAATAATGATCATCTTTCCCATGGTTAAATCCAAGGATGGTACAGTGCACAGCTGTAACTTCTCTTTTTTGACAACCATTCACTCACCCCTACGTTCCAGGGATGGTGTGTAGAATTAAAAAAAAAAAGATAGAAGCACTTGGTATTCTACAGACTCTTTCATGGTTCAATTTATACAAGATTTTATTTTTGACATTTAGGTTTACAAGCTAAAGGATTCTTCTTGACTCCTAATGGTTTTTAAACTCCCAGGAGCCTATGCAGCTTAGAGTACTGTTTTTGATGCTTATTTGTCTATTGATTGTGAAGATATTCACAATTAGTTAACCTTCTGTGATGTGCTGAATGCGCTCTATAGAAGTCAGCAAGATCAGCTGAAAGCCTCTGGTTTTACATTCTTCTGCAGCCCCCAGTTCTCGACCCTATTCGATGTACTAGCAGATAAAAACTAAACAGGCCAGGGCTCACCTATTCAAGTGAGTGCTGTCACTTTGAAAAGCACAGTCCCTGGGAAGCTATACATCAATTCCTCCTTTACCATCAATTCCCATTTTTAAAAGCCAAATTAGTGTGAACGAGTATATGAATTTACTACTGCATAGTTTTTCCTTAATAGAAAAAAAATTGTGCCCTGGCTAGTGTGGCTCAGTTGGTTGGGAGTGTCATCATCCCATGCACTGGAAGGTCACAGGTTTGATTCCTGGTCAGGGCACATACCTAGGTTGAGGGTTCCATCCCCAGATGGGACACATAGGGGAGGCAACCAATCGATGTCTCTCTCTTATCTTTCTCTCTCTCTCTCTCTCTCTCTCTCTCTCTCTCTCTTCATCCCTCTCTAAAATCAATAAAAAAGAAGAAATATGTTTTGAGGGTGGGGACTTTTTAGTTACTTTGTGAATGATTAGGAAATGGAGGAAGAAAGGAAGGGATGGAGAGAGAGACGGAAGGAGACAAGGAGAGATGGGAGCAAAAACGATGACTAGTACAAGAAGAGGAGATGAAGTAGAAGACAAAGCAGAAGGGAGGAGGATTGCAAAGCAGCTTTGGGAAAGCACAGGAAGGAAAGAGAGAGTAAACCCAGGTCGAGCTGTGGGTCCAGGCTGTGTCAGGTTGCTGAGGTTCACATAACAAAATTGTTTCTCCATGTTCTGATGTGCGCTAGTTTGATGGCATCATGGATGTTGCTATAACTAGGTGAACTGAGATGTGGGGAGGAGTTTTTGAGAAATACTACCGAGCTATGATAGCCTGTATAGTTTCAATAAAGTCACCTAAAGTATTTCTACCTCAAATATCCAAGTTATTCTGTTGTCTCCTGCCAGCCATGGCCCTGGACCACAATGGTAATGGGGAATCAGAAGTCAACCATCCCAAGTCTCAAGATGTGGCAATGAATTTTAGGGTAACTCTGTGGCTTTCTATGATATCAACAATAGAAGACAACTTCAATTTTGATGCATAAATTATAGTTTAAACAAAAGACAGTCAAGTGGTATTACTGACAACCCTAATAGGGGACTTTCCAACAATGCAATTTTTAGCTTCAAGACAGTGTCAAGAAGCCAAGCTTACTCTGACAGGCCATGTCTGCACAACAGCAGGCTTGCTGTCCAATCACAGCACTTCCTGGTCTTTAATCCTCTCTTCCTATCTGACGTCACACACTCTCTATTCAGCCAGTTCATTTCAGCTATTAATCTCTGTGTTCAGACTAGGAAAACGCCAAATATCCATTGATATATTTTCTTTTAGGAAGGGGATAAAGCAAATATTGAACATTTTCTTGCATTTGTACTTTTGTTCCCACAAACCCAAATTCTGTCTTATATTTTAACTGGAATTTACATGTCGTAGAAATTAAAAAAGCCAGAATAGACATCTCAACTACTATTGTACTTAATACAAATGCTATGAGAGCCAGGGAAAGGGTATATTACGTATATATACCCAAAATATATTTTCCTTTCCATTGAAAATATATTAAATTGAAGCTTATCTTCAATATTCACAATCAAATAACACTCGCATGAAGAAAAGTGACAATTATATTCTCACAAGAATCAAAAGCTACTAATAGCAAAAAGATGGTTAACCTTATGAGATGTATGCATCACAACTCAAAAACAATAGTCTGAAAGTTATTCTATTTTCTAAGTCCAAAGCAACCTTGGAGCATGATCATGCTTTGTACAGGACAGAAAACTTATCTGCGGGACAAAATGAAATAAAAATTGGCCCTAGAGATTGAGCGTCCATGAGGAATTACTGTGAAAAACAAAAACATAATTCTCAGCCATAAAAAAAAATGAAATCTTACCATTTGCGACAGCATAGGTAGGTATACAGAATACTATGCCAAGTGAAATAAATCAGTCAGAGAAAGACAAAAATCATATGATTTCACTCACATGTGGAATCTAAAGAAT